ATTACTGACGGCCTCCCGCCTCCATGGTACGTCCCTCTTGTTTTGTCTGGGTAAGTAGCTTAGGGGAAGCCCCTTTGGCTTCCCCTAAGCTACTTACCTAGACAAAACAAGAGGGACTTACCACGGAGGTGGGAGGCCCTCCCTAATTAACACAAAGTCGAGACAACTGGCTGCAACCACCGACCCAATGCGACACAGGCCCAACAACCAGTGACATCAATGCCAAACGCAAGCTGCAGCGGCTCCGCCAGCACTGCACGATACAAGGCGACAGTATTCGGCATAAGAGGACAGTCCTGGAACAACTACAAAAGGAAGGACAAGACAACCTTAACAAAGACAGAAGTAAACCTACGAAGGGACAAGAAATAACGAAAGGACCGCCAGGAAACTTCATACTGCCACCGAGACGAAGCACGCAGGTGGGACACCATCAACGAAGCCACCTGCTCACTGTACAAGTGGTGATAGACTCAAGTCATAAAGACCAGACGTGAAGACTTGAGGAGAAGATCGAACCAGCCACGTAATGACCCAGACTGATCTGCTGAAAGAGGCAGAACCGTAGGAAGGCCCTCAGGTTCGGACACTGAGCAAGCAGTGCCTGAAACCAAGGCTGGGTTGGCCACCATGGAGCCTAGAGGACTACTCTCCCAAGTCTCCAAGCAAGCTAGGACCTTGAGCAACAGCTGAACCAGGGGAGGGGGGGGGGGGCGGGGCAAGAGGTACAGGTAACCCCTACCTCGACTAGTCATGCCTGAAGGCATCGACCCTGATGACCTCGCAGTCGGGGAGGGGCACCACATACAACGAGAGATGCCATGATAATGCTGATGCGAAGAGGTCCACCTCTGGGAGCATGTACGTCCGGCAGAGCCAACTAAATGAGTCAGCGTTGACCGTCCATTCCGTGGACAGGGAAATGAACCAAGACAGGCCATCCGCTAGGACGTTAGACACCCCCGGAACATGTACGGCTAGGAGATCCAAACCCCGAGAACTCAGCAGATGAGTCACCCGAGGCGACCAGTCCCAAAGAGCCAAGGACCGCATCAAACCACCCCTCGGTTCAGGCAATGAACCACCAGGGAGTAGTCCAAATGGTGCCAGATCATTGATCCGCGAGTGACCTGAACCCTCCGAAGCAACATCCACACTGCCGCAAACTCCCGCACCGTGCTGTGGGTCCAACAGAAGGACGAACCTCACCGCCCCTGGCCAGCCTGGTGAGCACTGGTCACAAAGCCACAGCCAAGAGACGACACATCCGTGAACACATCGAGCAAGTGCTCGGGTAGGCTCCAAGGCATTGAACCCCGAAAACCTCGATGAAGCTGGCGACACAGCAGCCGACGCAAGTCACCCGGAGGCCAAACCCAGCAATTGCGAGAGGTGGAAAGGACGTCCCTGAAGGAACCAAGACATCCGACAAAGCTAAACCCAACCTGATGGGTAGACCATCATGGTAAAGTTCGGGCTCCCGCACAAACCCTCAAACAACTGCCGTTTGACCTAGGAGCCCCTAGAAACAGGTGAAGGCTGGACTGCAGCCGAAGCAGAGACTCCAGAGGGAGAGACAAGGAAGCAGTCCGAGAGTCCCACACAACACCCAGCCAAGACTGAATCTGAGAAAGAACCAGATGGGACTTCCTCCAGTTCACGAGGAACCCGAACCCAGTGAGCTGAAAAAGAACCAAATCCCTGGTGAACAGACAAGTGGACTGGCTGGACACCAGCCAGTTGTCGAGGTAGGCCAGAACCCGAACCCGTAATAGAAGCAGACGAGACCACAATGACCCAGGTAAGGTGTGTGAATACATGAGGTGCCAGATTCAAGCCGAATGGAAGGCAATGAAAGCGGTAAGCCTGATGCCCCTCAACAAAACCGAGCCAGTCCCTGAACCCCAGATGAATCAGAACATGTCAATAGGCATCCCAGAGGTCCAGGGACACCATACAAATGCCCGGCTCCAGAAGAAGACGGACCTGGGACAGTAAGTCATCCAAAATGAGGGGCAATAAACCCAAGGGTTCAGATGAGATAAGTCCAGAATGAACCGGAGGTCTGCGTAGTCCCGTTTTGGAACTGGAAACAGGCGGGAAACCCACCTGAGGGACAGGGTTCATTTCGACCACGCACAAGCGAATCCACTCCGAGATGACTCAACAGAGCACAGGAGAAGAGGTCTGCCCTGCCAACCCCGAACTCCCCGAAGGAAGAGGGGCCACCGAACGCCTCCATAGGCTACTCAAAATTACCCAAAAGGCCTACAAATCATGGAACAAGGCGTGAGCAATCAGAGAGTCCCCCCCATTTCCCTGTCAATGGGACGAACCGCAAAAGGGCCGATGCCCCTTACGTGAACCCAACCTTCGCACAGGGAGATCAACACATCGACCAGACGAAGACAGTTCCGAAAGCTGCGCTGGCTGGAAAACCGGCTGCACTGGCTGGAAAACCGGCTGTGCTGGTTTCAAAACCAGCACCACTGGCCTACCACGATGGTAGGAACCCTGAGCTCTGACATGACCCTTCTGGGAAGACTCCTCAAGAGCCCCCCTGGAGAACCAGCACGTCCGACATGGGACGATAACTGGAAGCTGCTGCCTGCAGATACTATACCTCGGCAGACTCTGCAAACAGCAAAGAACAAAAAGATGAAGAAAATCTAAGAGCCAGGGCCCAAGCAAATTCCAGGGAAGTAGTAAGCACCACCTGCTGACATGTGAGATAGGAAGCTAAAAACAGCGACACCATGCCTTGCAGGATCGGCGCGAACAGGTTCAAGAGAGCAGACAATGCATGCAACGCCGAGACCAATGCACCAGACCCAGGATCAGCCCCAAGTGCCTTCACATCCTCCCCAAGCCAGTCCGAGGACAGCTCAAGAAAGGAAAGGAACCACAAGACCAACGCCAACAGGCCATGGGCGAGCAAGTCCTCAGCGACCAGTGCAGCCGAAAGGGTGGGAACCTGCATGTGAAGCTGCACAATGCCAACATCCCGAGGAAGGGCAGGGGCAAACAAGCATGCATTGAGGTGTTCAAAGTCGCCCCCCAGGAAAACCTGGAACCCCAGATGAGCCTCACGCCACTCAAGCATGCGGGACCGACAGAACGTATGCCAAATCTCCAACGAGAAAAAGGGGCAGTCCGCAAGCCAGGACGATTCCGGAATTTCATAACGAACTCAGTAAGTTAAAGATTATCCAAACACGAAGGAAGAAGGATCCATTATGAAGGTGTAATCTGGGTCGTGCAGGAGGTAAGCTGCAATGGCCTCCCGCACCACAAGGTGGGATGCGGGAGGCCAATAACCTCCGGTAGGATGGGACCGAAGAACCAAAGGGAGCAAGGAACCAAACTCAGGGAGTGATTGACATCAAATCCAATTCATACAAGGAGGGAGGAAAAGAAAACCCCACCTCTGTAATAGCAAGCCCCACTCAGAGGGTACAAAATCCTAAGTGGGATCCAATGGGCCCCGCCCCCAAGTCAACACCTACCCCAACCCAAGGAACCTCCTCACAAGCACCCGAGGCCAAGCCATTCTCCAAATCCCCTGCCTCGAAAGAAAAAGCAGAAACTGAAAAAAATCAGGAACGAAGGGGGCCTACTAGTCAGACCTAGAATCCAGCTAGAGGAATCGGCTCGAATGCCTCCGTCACCACACCAGAAGGGACATCCCCCGAAACTGCCAGTCTCTCAACACCAGCTAAACCCTGCCCCGACCCCAAAACCCTCAGATGCTTCAGGGTCAGAAACCGGGGGAGGGGGGGGGACTAGGACAAACAACAGCAGGGAAAGGACAAGGGGGCGTGAGCTGAACCAAAGTCAAAGCGACTAACACCCCAAAGTCTGGGTCCCTATAACCAAAACGGGGCAAACTCGGGGCACCCAGGGTAGCAACTAATATAATGCGTTGCAGCAACCTAAACCAAGCAAGCAATGCTGAAGCTGCCTGCACCCTAATACTATGATCAGAGATCTGGGTGTACTGGAGTACAAACAAGGAACAAAACTTGCAGGACTCCGGATTGAAGGTGTCACCGACCCAAACGGCAGCATGATGGAGGCACAAACGGTGAGTGTCACACTGAGACAAGGGCACAGAGCAACCTTCAAACTTACACGAAGTGAGAGGAGGACCCAGAGGTTGCATCCACCGGACCAAAGAGCCCCCCACAAGGTTTCCCATGGCCCTTAATCGCATAATCTTACTAAGGGAAGCCTAGGCAGGGTACTGCTAACCGGTTCCCAAAGTTACCAAACTGCTAAAGCTGAACCCTTGGGACGTATACACTCATGGTGACCTAGTGGAGGACCACCAAGATATAAATGGGTGTGACCAAAACTAAGGGGCAAAACCAAGGGTCATATCAGCCCGGTTAGCTCCGGGGAGCCGAAAGGGCTTCCCCCAGAAAAAATATGTATTGTTAATAAATAGGGAAATAATAATAAATAATAATAATAATAATAATAATAACAACAACAAATAATACAAGGAATAAACCTAGCTACTCTGGCCAACATTTGTGATGACAATCTTGGCACAATTATAGTAACTATGCAGATAATGTCACCCATGGAACTGCATACCCACCAAAGCTGTACATGTCAAAACTTCTAAATTTTAAAACCTAGCTAGGAAAAAAAACACCTGGTTAAATGTGAGGGACATTTGACAACCCGCAGTATTCCTGTCCTTGTCGAGGCTACTGGTGTGTTAGTGGCCCTCGGGTAAATTCAGGTAAATAATGGGACTGAAAATTAGACACCCAACCCACAAATCTGAAAATAAAGGAATTGATGACGTTTTGGTTCGTCTTATCTATAGTATCTATGCACCGACACCATCGAAAACAGTTCCATATCACAAAGATCTACGACATTGTCCCCCCCAACCCCCCCCCCCCCACCAAAAATATATATATATATATAACTTTAAAAAAGGGGAGGAAACAGGAAAACAAAAACTAGTCGTAAATGTTGGTACTGACATGCGAGGGTCATGACCCAGACAGCGATGCGGTAGTAGCGGCTCTTGAGGCCGGGGTCATTACTGCTGAGGCCCATCCCTGTCATGATGGTGGCGAAGACGTCCAGCAGCAGGCAGATGACACACAGCGCCGCGCTCGCCATGATGTATGCTGCAAACATTTCATACATTAGTGATGTGGAAAAAATTCAACTCACCATATCCATACATCTAAGGAATGAAATATTTCCATACTATATTTACATTAGAATCATATCTCTACTGATGATTTAAGTATCATCTGTATCTACATCAAAAGCCTTCATGACCATTTGGTCATGTACACCATTGGGCTCAATGCCTATACAACATTGTACATGTGATCACAAGCTTCCAGGAGGAACTGATAATCAAAAAATATTGTTGGCACAAAATAATAGCTTCCAGTGATGTATTTAAAATATCCTCAATGAAGGACAAATAATACTATCAAGCACTGTCAATACTCTTCAAATCCACTAGGTGTTTATCTTGTGATATAACTATCACAGTAATCAGTCTAAATAATCAAAATAATCTATAATCGTTCCGGCACCTTCACTAGAGGAGGGGGCCGACACCAGTGGGCATCCAGCGTCCTGTACAGGATCATTCCTTGTTGACATGCAGGTGGTGCACACGTGTACAGTCTTTGAAGAGTTTCAGTGGTCATTACCACACAAACTACTTAGCTAATCACCAACAATCACTACCTAGATATTCGGGGAGCCCAGAGTACTAGTAGCGTACTCGTGTACCCAGAGACTTGCCACGCTTCCACCATTTAATCCTTAACACTGCTACAGGTATCTATCCTACAGCAAACGCTACTAGGAACTCAATCAACATCAAGCTGTTGATGCTTATCTGCATCAAAAATACAGAACCTATCTCCGGAGAGATCATACAGCCTGACAACTTGCCAGATTAGGCTCCGGTTCTCAATTCAAGATAATGGTTTTAAAGCATAAATTGGCCAATTGCACGCTAAGACATTAATATGTATCCATATATAAATTGCGAGTCGTTAGGCAGCGAGGCAACGCCTCACCAATTAGTGAGTTGATTTTACCTTCTTCAGTGAATGAATCTCATTTATTACTGAATATTCATATAAATCTGAATATCTATATCATATGAATATAATTCTTTAATACAACTCACATTTAATTGCCATATCCATTAATCTTAATTTATCAAATTAGTTTATTGCATAAAATATTTTCTTTGCATATTGCCTATGCATTATCCTTTTATTATAAAACTACTTTGCTGAGAGTATCAGAACAATTGATAATTGTCTGTTACAATATTTCTAGAGCTAGGTTAAACTATGTACCTAGTTCTGATCTTTGACCATGAACCGTACCAGTGTTTACAGTTATAGAACCGTCTTTATCAATTTATCATTGTAAAATATACAAGCTAAATATGTTGGAATACCCACAGGTATATTGTGGTTCTGCAATCAATGAGCCAGTTCAGCCTACAGGACCCTACCTGCTACACCCCATTACCAATATCAAACACATAGAAGAGTTTTGCCTTACAACCCAGGACCCGATTCATAAAGCAGTGATGCAAGTACTTACAAACGTGTACATATTTCCTCAATCTTTCACGACTTTGGTTACATTTATTAAACAGTTACAAGCATGAAAACTTCCCGATCAACTGTTGTTATTGATATCAACAGCCTCCTGGCGCTTCGGAGCTCATTAACTTAAATGACTGTAAACAAAGCTGCCAAAGATTGAGAAAGTATGTTTAGGTTCATAAGTGCTTGCGTAAATGCTTTATGAATCCGGGTCCAGCATATGAACCTTAACTTCAGCTGAGAGAGGTCAACCCGTTCTCGCAAATTTAATAAGTCAATATTGACTTATTAAATATGTGCATAGGTGACATACTTAATATAATAGATACCCTTAAAAAGATTCATAGAAAACACCGACCTTACCTAACCTACTTAGTATGTTAAGATAAGCATCTTATTGCTTCGTAATTACAATTATTACCTAACCTATAATAGGTATAGGTTAAGCTATACCTATAATAGGTATAGGTTAAGTAATACCTATAATAGGTATAGGTTAAGTAATAATTGTAATTACGAAGTAATAAGATGCTTATCTTAACATAATAAGTAGGTTAGGTAAGGTCGGTGTTTTCTATGAATCTTTTTAAGGGTATCTATTATGTTAAGTATGTCACCTATGCACATATTTAATAAGTCAATATTGACTTATTAAATTAGGTAAATTAGGTATTACAAGGTTAGGTAAGGTTGGTGTTTTCTATGAATCTTTTTAAGGGTATCTATTATGTTTAGTATATCACCTATGCACGTAGTTAATAAGTCAATATTGACTTTACGAATTTGCGAGAACGGGTTGTAGAGAGAGCTTATTTGTGCTGTATTTTATGAATTACAGTAATTATTCAGTTTCATATTTATGGTTCTAGTGACCACATTTTTGGTCCTATGTAATTCTCCTCTTGTATCAATCCTGGTATTTCTCCCACACGTCCTCTGTTACCCATATTGTTTTCATATGAGAAATACGAATTACTTTTCTTAAGAAGGAGACTGTGTACTTGCCTAGCTGTTCTTGTGGAAATTTAGCTTCAGCTCTTGGGTCCCACTTTACAATATTCAATCAACTGGTGTGCAGGATCCCGAGCCCTCTGAGCTCTAGCATTTAGATTTGAAATTGTGTATAACCAAATCTGAACACAGGAATAACACCATATGAGACCAGTAGGCATGGCAGGATGTGCAGAATACCCCCCGCTGAAAAGCAGAGGTACAACAGGTACGCTGAGGGAGAACTCTTACCAACAACAAGGGCCCAAGACTTTTCAACACACTCCCGCTACTCGTAAGGAGCATAACTGGCCGGCCTCTCACAGTGTTCAAGAGAGAACTCGATAAGCACCTCCAAAGGATACCTGATCAACCAGGCTGTGATTCATACGTCAGGCTGCGAGCAGCCCCGTTCAACAGTCTGGTTGACCAAACGACCAACTGGGAGGCCTGGTTGGAGACCGGGCTGCGGGGCCACTGATCCCGGAAGCTACACAAGGTAGACACATGGTAGGTAAACTCATTTGACCACTTCATTTCTTAGTTCATTCTATTTATTTGCTACTCTGACACTGAAACACGGGCAATTTTGCTGTGGTTCATTCAGATGGGGTCCCCGTCCTCGTGTGCCCTTTACACAACAGTCTGTCCTTGTTTACTATTACACAATATTAAAATTTTTGTAAAGGGGTAGTGTTATTTTCCGAATGTTTATGCCTCCAAAGTATAGAAAATGGCTATTATTTCCCCTCAAACTTTGATTTTACTTTCCTCACAAAGCTTAGGGACGCTGTCTTGAAGGTACGTGAAGGCTGCTGACTCCATATCTAGAGCTGTGACACAGTCTCATAAGTCGGCAGCCTTCAGGTACAATCAAGACGTCTCTCCTAAGCTGTCTATGGCAAAGTTTAAGTGGGAATAATAAAAATTTTCTATACTTTGGAGTATCAGGGGCCCCAACCTATCAGGAAGCTGCTGATAAATGGTCACTGCTTGCTTGATGCAAGCGGGGATGTTTCTGGCGGGGGAGAAGGAAACAATTGCGCAGCGCGTCCCGCGGCGTTGCGCGGGCAGTTTGGGGCCCTATAAATACGGGCGCACAATGGGGCTCTGCCCTCACTCCGCCTGCCCTCGCCGCTGCCCTCGCAAAATCCCACCCTCCTCCCCTTTGCAAGCGGCCGCTTTTGTACCCTTGTCATGCTTTGCACAGTTGTCCTGATTGTCTCCCCACTGCATGTGGGAAGGGGGGTGCAGCGCCGGTCCCCAAGTGTCCCGCTGTCCGCAGCTAATACTTTGCCCAGTCTAGGTGCTAGTAAGCCCTACTTGTAGTCAACCCCTTCTCCTTATTCATTAGCTCTTTCCGGCCTCTTGGTCGGGTACATTATGTGTTATGTGGTCTCTCACTTATTAGTTACTCTTTGTGTCCTGCCTGTTATATCCTAGTGTTATATAATTACTCACATTTGCATTCGGCCTTAATTCTAGTACCAGTTAAGCTTTACGTTTCTGCAGAATTAGTTTCCATGTCACTATAGGCTAAGGTCTCATAATTACTACGGGTGTACCTTTTAAGTTAAATCTAGTCCTCGGACTTGGAATTGTTACTGTTAATTCTTACTTTATATATTTACATGTTCTGCAGAATTTAATCTTCAATAAACTTTAACGCCCCATGCTGCCTGTATCTTTCTCCCCCTGGACAGAAAATAAAAAATATTCACCACCACCAGAGCACTTCTCTGCAGGATAAACATATCAATAGTGACACTAGCTCTCCATACATGTTAGTTGCTTAAATTAGAAACTGTACTTGTGGTCGGTCTCGAGACCATTGTTGATGTGACGATGTGAATTGAATGTTCTAACTAGCACATCAAGATTGTAACTTGCTTAGCTAAATGAATTGTGGGTTCAGTCCCTGAGCCCATCATGTAACCTGTAATCAAGTAATTATATAATTATAACTATAACATCAAGTAATTATAATTATAATTATAATTGATGTAATTATAACATCAAGTAATTATAGCATAGTAGAACTCTGTTTAGTGTTTGCAGGTTAAACACTAAACAGAGTTCTACTATGCTATAATTTAAACGGCTTTCATTTTATATACCTGCATTTGGGTGAGGTGATATGTTACAACAGTTTTGGATGAGGTGAAAACAAACTTTCAACACAAGACAGAACACGAAACAATGGGTATAATATTGGGTAAGTTAAAGGGAAGAATGGAAGTAACTCCAGAGGGCCTATTGGCCCATATTTCTTGATGCTTCTATATTGGTGCGGAGTCTTGAAGTGTATATATATTCTACCCACTTCAATATTATATATATATATATATATATATATATATATATATATATATATATATATATATATATATATATATATATATATATATATATATATACATATATATATATATATATATATATATATATATATATATATATATATATATATATAAGTATATTTTGGTAGCAGTCTTTCCTGTAGACATTATTAAATATGACCGAAAAAGTAAGATTAATAATTCTAA